AGAGCCTCTTTGTTCAAGGTCATGCCCCCTCCCTAAGGGATCCTCCATCCAGTGACTTGTGGATGTGATCTAGACTTCAACACTGGATGGCTGTGAAGAGCCATTCCAGCTTCAAAGCTCCTACAAGGATCTGCTGAGTCCTCTGTTGTAGCCGCATCAGAGTTCAGTTTCTCCTTTGGCTCCATCCTGCATCCTGCACTTCCTGCAGATATCATTTCTAAGCATGCTTTTTAATGAACCTCTCCCACATGCACATCAGAGTCTGAGTCTGTTTCCTGGGGAACCCAACCTACAATAATGACTTTCCTCTAGATTTAAAATATAGGGCAATAATAAATAATATGTGTACATACATTGAGAAAAGAGAATAAAGCAAATGGGGCAAAATAATAATAATGGCTGACTCTGGATGAAGAATATATGGACATTGTACTATTGCAACTTTTCTTTAAGTTTGAAATGATTAAAAAATGAAAGTTTTTTAAAAATAGGACAAATATCAATTACTTGAAGATGCTTAAGTGTAGTTATATGCCAAGACAATGAACTTGGAGTCAAAGTTCCAAAGTCATGATTCTGTGGAAGTCAGATATAAACTTAACCACGAGACTTTACTTTTATATCTTATCAGTTCTTCATTAGCCCACTGAGTATTTTCTATGATGAAATATGTTTTTCTATTAAAAATTTAAGTAAATTACTTAATTTACTTAAATTATACCTGAAAGGACGCTGTCAACCCATAGCAGCAGTATTTATTAGATACTAATTAATAAATGGAAGAGTTCAGAAATTTGTTCAATCTATGAAGGATTTCAGTTCTAAAATACATTGTTGCATTGATAGTTTGCATGTCAGTTTGATATCTCATCTAAGAAATATCATCACAGGGTTCACCAGTTCTGCTTTGTGGTATTATCTGAGTGGTACATGCTCAGTGAGATCCACAGCTTCTCTCTAGATAGTTTCTACAAAGTACTTACAGCCTTGGTATTTAAGCATTTGTCTTTGAGTGACTCAATAGCTTCATTTCCTGTAGCTCTTCACTTTTTCACCTGAAGTTTCTCATTCACATACTAGTCCTTCTTGGCTTGTGACTTCACAATTTCAATTGATAAGTAGTTTATGATACCAAAGGGACTTCATTTCCACTAAGGACCTAAATGTGTGTTCTTCCCTTCCATTTGCTTGTGAAAGTCCAGGAATAAATGAATAATCACCTAATCTAATTAAGCATATCTCACTTCCAGTGTTGTGCTATCTGATACTAAAAGAAAAGTTTAATGAAGTTCCATAGCTTTCCTTCTTGCCCCATAAAATAACTTAAGATAGATTTAAAACAGTTTAGCTATTCTAGGCAAAAATACATCTCCAAAAATGCAAGATATTTTCCACAATTCTTAGTATTTTGCTCACAGTTTACTTCAAAATTGACTTTCTGACATTTTTATTTATCTACTTCTGTGATGTCTAAAACCTGAGTCCTTATCATTTCAAAGATTATTGCTGAATGCAGGAGTGATAATATAGTTCCTGATTAAATCCGATGAAAGTAGATAGGCAATCTAAGCCCCAAGTCATCATTGTTTGCCAGTGTTAATTATAAAATCTCCAAGTCCAAAATAAGTCCATTTTCATTATTCATTTTCATGTGAAGTTATAACAAAATGAAAAGCTACAACTATAGATGAAAGATTCTTGTTGTTTCTTTAGTATCTCTGGCATCTACCATACTTGTTCCTTTTGCCCACATAGTTCCTTCTGCTTGGAATAATTTCTCTCTTTCTCTACATTTATCCTTCAAAGCCTGTTCAGATTTTACTTCCTTTTTGAGGATCTTTCTGATTATTCTGGTGAACATTGCTTTTTTTTCTTCTTAGAGTATATATTCCTAAAGTTAGTTAATTCAAGAAAGTTTAGCATATAATTGTTCTCTGATTGTTTCCTGTAAGTCTGTATGTTAGACTCAGCTGCTTAGGGTATACACTTTTTGAAGGTAAAAACCATGTCTTGTATCATTGCTTTTCAAGATATTTTTCTTGCACAACCTCTAATATTGAAAAATTAAGTGCCTCACACATTTTTAAGTTGACAGGTGAAATTTTATAATAAACTTCAAAGGATATAATTCTGGCATATTGCTAATACATTAAAGACAGAAAAGAAAAAACAAAATTGTTATATCAGTCCTCTAAAGGAATCTAAATATCATTGTGATCAATACCTGTAGTTGTTCATTTGAAAAAAACATATGAAGTCCTCTTTAACTACTGGAAATTTTAAATTATTCCCTTTTCTCCTTAAAGTCATATTTTTATTCCACATCCCTCACAGAGCTTTATCTAATATAAAGTATTTTTATGCTTGGAAATCTTCTCTATGTCAAATATGTATATTAATAGTAATTATTTTTCTAAATTTTCTACAGGACCAGAGGTTTTACTATTTCTTCGAGATTGACATCAGTATAATTATTGTTAATGTACAGTTCATCAGAACCACATAAATGTATTATAAATTTTTATGAATACTTATCAAAGAATATAATTGGAAATTCATCTATGAGACACATGGGACTTCATGTTTACTCACATAAGAATATTACTTATTGCTAGATATAAGCGGAGTTCAGCATAAATTGTTTGTTTTACATTTTTATAGTAGTAAATGCTTAGAAAACTTGTTTACCTAAATTATAGTGAGACTAGAAGGTGTTTTATTATAGCAATGACAATCAATTCTATGAATTCCTTCCAAGTAATATGCCAAAAATTATATGGTAATTTATTATAAGAATATTTTTCATGTCTTGTTGACAGTTAACTTGATTAGATTTTTCTTCAGTGTTATTGAAAGCAAGAATTGGAAACACCCTACTTAGAAAAATATTTGTTAAGCAGTCATTAGAAGTAATTTACGTTCTCAATTTCTGGGAATAATACCAAAAAGCTTTACTCGAATTTATCAAAATAACTATTATATCTGTTATGCTTTAATTTAACCCAATATGCTCAGAAAATATGGAGAAAATTAAGATATTAGTTACAATGTATCTGTCAATATAACAATTTTTGAGAAAATGATTTTATTGTATCATATGCTTTAAATATATTTTCATCAACTCTTCAGAACTACAGATTTGGCTCATTTAATTTTTGGAAAAGAGTTATCATATAACCTAGTTGATAACACCAACCCTCATTGTCAAAACAACTAGCCAAGGCCAGGTGCGGTAGCTCATGCCTGTAATCCTAGCACTCTGGGAGGCCAAAGCGGAAGGATGGCTCGAGGTCAGGAGTTCGAGGCCAGCCTGAGCAAGAGCCAGACCCTGTCTCTGCTAAAAATAGAAAGAAATTAGCCGGACAACTAAAAATATATACAGAAAAAATTAGCTGAGCATGGTGGTGCATGCCTGTAATCCCAGCTACTCAGCAGGCTGAGGCAGAAGGATCGCTTGAGCCCAGGAGTTTGAGGTTGCTGTCAGCTGGGCTGATGCCACGGCACTCTAGCCTGGGCAACAGAGTGAGATTCTGTCTCAAAAAACAAACAAACAAAAAAAACAACTAGCCAAATCAATCTTAAGTTTTTTTCAGGAAACATCTTACTTTATTTATTCAAATAAATGTGTAAACATCACTTTGATTGTCTTCACACTCTTGAATTCTTTTCCTAAGATAAGTAGCAAAAACATGAAGCTTTGCCTTGAGTTTGTTGCATTGATAACACAGGTATCCCTGCTTCCCAGGCTTTCTTTGCTTTGCTCTCTGGGGAGCCTTCCTTCTGATTGATGCATTCTTTAACAGTAGTTGGGGGATGAAAAGCACAAGGACATTAAATGAAACTCGTTAGCTGTCCTGCTGCTCCATACTGTAATTTATCTGAATACCAAACATCTTGGTATGGACCAAAGTACCTTGTTATTTATGCCATGCTTTGCTGTTGAAAGAACTATGTGTGAGACAGGACAAATCTTCAAGCTCTACCTTGGATTTTCCATGCTTTAATTAAAGGTGTCTTCCCCTATACCAGTATTTTTTTTACTATTGTTTGGTGCCTTAGAGTTTCTTTTGCTTTGGGAAGATGTATCATAATAACATGGGTGAGGATATGTTTGTCTTTTGTAAAATGGGAGAAAAGTGATTGAGAGGGAAGGGGGAAAAACTAGCCTGATGCTTGTGTGCAATCACATTCTCAGGCATATTTGTTTTTGGAAAGAATGTATGTGGAAGTAGCTAGTCTGGAAACTCATAAACCTATGCCCAACTAGCCCTTGTGAGGTCTTTACATACTTCCAGTAGTGTCATACCCCAGTTTGAAGGTAGCTTTCTTATACTTACTGTACCTAAGATGAGAGTTGGCGCTAAATACCTTTAGAGTTAGACTTTTTAGAGTTGGTACTAATACATAGTAATTAACAGAGGAAGGAAGTGATACTGAGACTGCAAAAACATTAAATTTAGCAAAAATATGTAAGCAGAAATATCAGTTTATTTTTATTAGTGTATTTTCTTTTATGCTTAAATTAAATTTTAAAAATTATGTTAAAAGTTTTCTTATCAAATCTATATATTTCTGATTAGTCTGTCTTAGAACACATGAAAGTCACACTGAAGTAATAAAGTTCTTTTAAATGTTAATTAGAATAGTTATAGTTATCATTCCTGCTTTGCTAAAATTTCATTTGAATAGTTTTCACATTTTCAAGCCATTTTCTATATTGTATTATACCTTATTTTAAAAAATATATTTCAAATAATGAAGTTATAACAGTTGATGTGGGAAAGGGCTAGAAAAGTTGTATTTTTTTAAATCATTCTGAACTTGTTAATTATTATAAAGAGGTATGTTATTGATTAATGCTTACAGGTTACCATTGGCAGATGATGCATACTTAGTAGGCAAAATGAATCTTCAGAAGTAATTAACTTAAAAATTGTGAACTAATATGAAAACATTACTTTTTTTACCATAATAAAATTTTAGCTTTATGTTGTTGACAGAAAATGCTTCCAAGGCGGGGTTAAAACAAGAGCAATGCCAAGATATTCTGTTGCCCACGGGAAATGTGTTGTCCCAGGAAACACTTCCACTCAAGATTAATGCTTGGAAATCAACAGATGTAAGTCATTTTCATGGTTTTCTATCGTTGCTCTAACAAATTACCGCAAATTTTGTGCCTTAAAACAACACAAATTTATTATCTTATAGTTCTGTAGATTAGAAGTCTGACCCAGGTCTCACTGGGCTGAAATCAAGATGTCCTCAGGGCTGTGTTCCTTTCTGGAGGCCCTAAGGCTGTGGTCCTCAACACCCAGGCTGTGGCCGCATAGCAATCAGTGGCCTGTTAGGAACGAGGCCGCGTATCACTGCCTAAGCTCCCCATCCCACCTCCTTGAACGTCCGCTACCTACTTCCGTGGAAAAATAGTCTCCCATGAAACTTAGGAACCTGGCCGCAGGGTTGGAGGCGGGCAGGCGGGGCTTCATTTGTATTTCCAGGATGTTGCACATATCAGTAATTAATTCCTTTTTATTGCAGAGTAGCATCCCATTTTAAGGACGTACCAGAGTTGTTCAATCATTCACTCACTGTAGAATATTTGGATGTTTTGGTGTTTTGGCTATTTATAAATAAAGCTGCTGTGAATATATGTGTGTAATTTTCATTTCTCTGGGATAAGTGTCCAAGAATATGATTGCTGAGTTGTATGGTAAGTACATGTTAAGTTTTGTAAGAAACTGTCAAACTGTTTTCCAGAGAGGCTATTACCATTTTATAGTCCCACCAGCAATATATGAGAGACCTGGTTTCTCTGCATTCTCACTGACTTTAGGTATTACCACTATTTTTATTTTAGCTGTTCTAATAGGTTTGTAATGATATCCCATTGTGGTTTTTATTTGCATTTCCTAAATGGCTAATGATGTTGAACATGTTTTCATGTGCTTATTTGTGCCATTATAACTTCTCTTTGGTGAAATATATGTTCATGTCTTTTGCCTATTTTCTAATTGTTTGCTTTTTACCATTGAGTTTTGGGTTCTTCATGTATTCTGGATATAAGTCCTTTGTCAGATACGTGATCTGCATATATTTTCTCCCAGTCTGTGGCTTGTTGGTTTTTTTATTAACAATTTCTTTTACAGAAAAAAAGTTTTAAATTTTCAGAAATTCCAGTTTATCAAGTTTTTCTCTTATGGATAATGTTTGCCTAGCTCAAGGTCATGTATCTTTTTTCCTAAAACTGTTACGTTTTACAATTAGGTCTGTGATATATTTAAAATTAATTTTTGAATAAGGTGTGAAGTATATAGGTTCAGGTTCTTTAAAAAAAATTTTTTTTTTGCCTATGGATGTCTAGTTGTTTCCATACTATTTATTGAAAAGACTTAAATTTTGATGTAATATGCTTATGTGTGAGTTTTCTTTCTCTTTTTTCTTTGTCACTCAGATTTTCAGTGGGAAGTTTTTTCATCTGTATTTAATTCTGAGAAAGTTATCTCTTTCTTCAAATATTTTCTACTGTTTGTTTCCATTTTTTCCTCTTTCTTGGACTCTTACTATCTACATATTAGTAATTCTCTTTTTATCTGTATGTCTGTCTCTCTTCTTTAGACAGAGTCTCCCTTTGTTGCCCAGGCTTACTAGAGTGAGCGCCATGGTGTCAGCCTAGCTCACAGCAACCTCAAACTCCTGGGCCCAAGCAATCCTGCTGCCTCAGCCTCCCAAGTAGCTGGGACTACAGGCATGCGCCACCATGCCCGGCTAATTTTTTCTATATATATTAGTTGGCCAATTAATTTCTTTCTATTTATAGTAGAGACGGGGTCTCACTCTTGCTCAGGCTGGTTTCAAACTCCTGACCTCAAGCAATCCACCCGCCTCGGCCTCCCAGAGTGCTAGGATTACAGGCGTGAGCCACCGTGCCTGGCCCTGTCTGTATCTCTCTTAACTTCATAGTTTCTATTACTTAATTGTTTTCTCTTTTTTCTATAAGATTTCCTTAATATGACCATCCTATTTAATAATTCTCAGCTATATCCATTCCATTATTTATCCCATCTGTATTCTCTATTTCAACGATAGAAACAACTATTTTCTGTTTTTATATTTAATATCTAATATTTTTGATAAGACTTAAGTCTTCCTGTTTCATAGTACTTATATCCTTCCTTGTTTATTTTCATATATTTATTAAGCTTCTTTTAAATGTTTGGTCCATCTTTTCTAATATCTACACTTATGATGAAATTGGTGATTGACTTTTTTACCTTTCTTTTAAAATAGTTTTGCTCCTCAAATGACCCTGAGAGGTAATGACTGCTCTGTTTAGGATTGTTTAGTCCATGTTTGCCCTGTCAGCTTAAGTGGGAGGTGTGGCAGAAATGGACTCTAGGGTGGAGAGGACTTCTTCCCTACCCCTCAAAAACATCAGAACTACTCATTCCTTACTCTAAATTTTTTTCCTATTTTGATGTCCTCCCTTTAGAGTACCTCTAGAGTTGATCCTGAGAGCGGAAACCGCCAGAACCTGTTGTGTTGTTTCTTCAGTGTTCTCTGACTTTCTCAGACATATATCAACTTAACTCCTGTTTGTACTTCTGCATAACAACTTTCATCTTTAATTTTGGAATATAAGTCTGTCTATATTACTTTTTCTCTATTTTCTTGAAATTTTTTTCAGCTCAATATCTATTAGCTATATAATGCCACTTACTCTGTCATTTTCCATGTCTTTCAACTGCTTTTTAAAATATTTTTTGTCTCATATCTCCATGCTGCATTGTAGGTAATTAGATTGTCTTCCAAGTCATCTCTTCTCTTTTCATTGGTGCCCCACTCTTAGACTTTTTCCTGTCCAGTGAGATTTTTATTTCAGTAACTGTTTTTTGTTTCTAGAATCTCTCATTGTTTCTTGTTTATATCCATTTGTAAATATTTCATCTCTGCCTGTTTTTGTGTTTTGTTTTCTTATTCCTGTAAATTAATGTTATCCTTCCCATTATCTTTTTGAGGACTCTAAGCATACTCAATTTTAAACTACTTTTTAGATTTCTTTATTATTTTCATTTTGTCAGGAGTGAACTCAGTTTTCTTTCTGTGTTTTGGAATGTTGGATTGTGAGCTCATCTTGAGTGGCTCAAGGTTTGTTTGTTTGTTTTGTTTTTTTTTTAAAACCTTTCTTTCTCTGTCTCTTTGTATGCTTTCCTTTCTCTATCTAAGTTTTCATTTGCCTCCACCTCACACCTGGGGACTACCCATGCATGTTCAAGACTTACACTGGCAGCTGGGAGTGACTTTCTTTTACTGGTACCAGAGATATTGTAGATCTGGTCCCTGTTCCCTAGACCAAGGAATGCCGTGGTTCAGTTGCTGGAGAAGTTTGTGTCCTCTCACCTACCTGATTCTAATACATTTAGAAATTATAACCCCAGGCTGTGATTAATGACAGATTATTTCAGCTTCCTTTATAAGCAGGGGGTCCTAATGCCTGGGCATTATTTTAAGCAGTGAGCCCATATTCAGCCTTTTTATCTTGGATAGACACTTTTAGCCCTTAGGAGTTGAGCTCCTGGTTTTCTCTGCTATTTTCTGGACCCAGAGATCCAAAGGTCCACAGCTTCAACCTCTCTTTACCATTATGTGTTTCTGTTCATGCTCTCATCCATGAATATGTTAATCATGTTTTTGAGCATAACTCTGTCTTTTTAAGTTTCACATTCATATTTTCTCTTTCATTACTCTGTATTTGGAGAAGGGAGGTATCCCCAAAGAATAAACATAGAGAACCATATTAACTAGAAATCTATTTCACTCATGACTATGTGAAATTACCTCATTCTCTCATTTGTTTTTCTGTTTATTATCTGTATCTCCCACTGACAGGAAAGGTCCTCGAGAGTAGAGATCTTTTTAGTCTTATTCATTATTGAATCTTCAGTTGATAAATTTTTGTTAATGAAGAAATGAATGAATGAAGAAATGAATCAATGTTAATGAAGAAATGAATGAATAATAGACACTAAATAAATGTTAGCTTTTCTTCCTTTCCTATGAAAGATGCTCTTTCCGTCCCCCCTCCAAGTACTTTGTTTAGTGTTCCCTGCACAATTCCTATGAGGGAGGGTGAAATTATTCCTTGACCTTCTGTTTTCAGCCCTTTCCCTCAATCCAATTAGGTATTGGATTCAGCTGCTTTCTGGTAGCTCAGAAAGGTACATACAATTAAATTTTCCCTGTTCCTTAATTGTATAATACCTCACAGATTGAAAATATATAGATTATTTAAAAAGATAAGACAGCTGGGCAAGATGGTATGTACCTGTAGTCCCAACTACTCAGGAGGCTGAGGTAGGAGGATCACTTGAGGCCAGGAGTTCAAGGCTGCAGAGCACTATGATCACATTTGTGACTAGCCGCTGCACTCCATCCTGGGCAACATAGTGAGACCTTGTCTGTAAAAAAAAGATAAGTCATTAAATTAAAATGATTTTTAAATTTGAGATCAGTCTATTTGCCGCTGATGGCTTTTGAGGTAGAAGATAGACTTGAATAATGCTATCTGCTTTGGAACCAAAGACATAAAATGTCACCTAGTTTTTTGGTAAAACTCTTTAACTTCTGATTATTATTACTTTTTCTTACTTTAGAGAAACCCACTGTTACTGATTTGTATCATTCCATTTTTTATTTCAGTGAGAAAAAAGTAGTGTCCTTAAGTTTAGAAGCTGGATTTTCCTTTTTCAAAGCATTACTATATTATAATAACATCCTGTCATCCCACCGACAAGCATCTCCTCTTATTACTGTCAGGAGCATTTCACGCAATCCAATAGTAGTTTGCTCTTGTAGCAGGAGACAAAAGCTAGCAGGTTGAACACTAAATCTAATTGCTGTTGCCAATGTACTGCATAAGAAGTGCTGCATCTACATTAAAATTCCCATGTACCTAATACAGAATGAGAAAGAAATAACATTGTTGATTGCTTAGGCAGAATGAGGGGTGCTTAAAATATCTTTTAAAAATTTAAATAGAAACCTTCTTAACTATTATCTTTATACAAATGAAATATAAATTATCTGAAAAACAGTAAATAAAATTTGTAACATAAGAGAGCT